AATTCACTACTTGGACGCAGAGTTCTGTAACCGAGCCGGAGCAGCAATGGTTATCAAAAACGCCGTTTGTATCCATGAAGAAGATGCTGGGATATTATTTAAGCACACCGACTTCCGGGACAATTCGACAATCGTTACAAGAGCCAGAAAGCTTATTATCAGCCAGATTTTCACCGCGGCGAATTATGAATATGCAGTTTATTGGAGTTTACATCAAGATGGTACAGTGCAGTTGGAGATAAAGTTAACCGGGATATTAAATACCTATGCTATGTACCCCGGCGAGGATACAAAAGGTTGGGGAACTGAAGTCCATCCCGGAGTAAACGCTCACAATCATCAACACCTTTTCTGTCTTCGTATCGACCCGCAAATCGATGGGCAGTCGAATACAGTTCTACAAGTCGACTCCACCCGAGGAGAAGGAGAACCAGGAAGTGAGGAAAACTTCTATGGGAACGCATTTTATGCCAAAAAAACAGCCTACAAGAAGATTGCGGATAGTATGCAGAATTATAACTCAGATACCTCGAGAACTTGGGATATCATCAACCCGGCTTCTATACACCCTTACTCGAAAAAACCGGCTTCTTATAAACTTGTATCCCGTGAGGTACCTCCTTTGCTACCAAAACCCGGGAGTCTAGTCTGGAAGCGCGCAGGGTTCGCGAGACACGCTATACACGTTACTCCTTATTCCGATGGACAGTTACACCCCGCGGGACGTCACGTGCCACAGACATCCGGGGAACCATCACGAGGCTTACCGGAGTGGATTGCTGCAGCGGCAACCGGGAAAGACAACATAGAAAACACAGACATAGTCCTCTGGCATACCTTCGGCCTAACCCATTTCCCCGCACCAGAAGATTTTCCGGTTATGCCGGCGGAACCGATGTCGTTGTTGTTGAGGCCGAGACATTTTTTTAGGAGGAATCCCGCGTTGGATGTTCAGCCGAGTTTTGCGAATAGTCCGAGTCAGATTAGAGGGAAGACGGAGATGAGGCCGGGGCAGGGGGAGAGTGTGAATGCGTTCGAGAACCTGGGGACAGAACAGGGGGGGTGTTGTAAGAAATAGGACTTGGGACGGGGAAGAGTGTAGCGTGTTGTGGTGGAGGTGGGGTTGGATGGTTACTAGGTGGCAAAGGGTGGATAGGAGAGGTTGGCGGGGGAAGGGGGAAGAGGCGTTTTCTTTTTCATGGGGATTTGCTGTTTTCGTTTTTCGTTGTTTCGTTTTTGTTTTTTTATGTTGAATGATACCTCCAATGAATTTGCTTTTATCAACTTGTAATTGGTAGGATGTATCGTGTAAAGTGGTGTTTGTGCTATGGACAGAATTGTGGATCATTTATTTTCAGTAGTTATGTCATATGTGTGCGGTAGATACGGGCCCCCGACCCGCGGTCATGGTAGGTGCCGAATACTATCGTGTGTATTTACCGGATGATGATAGGCTCACAATCACGCCTGCTCTACGAAGTATACAAGAGGGTCGACAGTACACTTGACTTCTAAAAAGCTAGAGTGATTGCGGGTGAACCTATCCTTTTCACTATCTATTTCATTGGCACAATCATAAACATGTCAATTACCGCAATGATCAATCTCAGCAGATAAAAGCTGATATCCCACCTATAGCTCTCCTCTCTCACGCGTAACCTTTTTTTATCCTTCGACATACATGATACGCGTTTAACACCATAATCATCAACTCTCGATACTTATCCATCAGCATCTCGATACGGAGGCTACTATGCAACATCTGCAACATCTGCAACCAAAGCTGTAACTCACTTAAGAGTTAAAGAACCTCATCATGTCTCGCCCGAGAAGCTAGAACTACAGTAAGTATGTCGATTCTCCCCGCCGTCATCGTCATATCATCTCTTTCTGCGCCACGAAGCACCACTAACAATCCTCCAGCTAGTTTCAACTTTCAACTTTCAACTTTCAACTTTGAACCTAGCCTCTAACTATGGCACTATGCTACTTGGCATCCAGTATATCTCATCCGAGAAGCACAGTAAGCATCTCCTCATCCTCATCATCTCTTTCTGCACTACGAAGCATCGCTAACAATTATCCAGCTAGCTAGTTTCAACTTTCAACTTTGAAACTCTGCCCTTAATGCTATCTAGCATCACACAACCCTTCTTTCAGCATCCGGATCGGTTCTAGAGTCGCCAGAAGATGAGATAGAGAACCTGGTGACATCATGGATTGCTCTCTCGGATCTCAGGGTTAGGTATGTTCCTCTCGTTTCCCATTTTCAAGTGACAATAACTAACATCTACCCTAGTCTTTAGCTGATTTCGGTTTCTGCGGAACAAAAGTCCACGCGTGCCACCATGGTTGGAACCCCCTATTGAAGTCTGGGTGGCACCAGAGGTGGTGAAGCAGAAGGAGTACGGGCCCACGGCTCCAAGGAAGACATCTGGTCGCTGGAAATTATAGCGATCGAGATGATCGAATCCGAGCCACCATACTTAAACGAGGAACCCCTAAAGGCACTGTATCTCATTGCCACCCACGGTACCCCGACAAGTTGTCCAAGAAACTCAAGAGCGTCTTGGCCGAATTCTTGACGGTGAACATCCACCAGGGAGCTACGGCTGATGAGCTCTTGAAGGATTAGTTCTTGAAGAAGGGTTGACCGTTGCCGTTGCCCTCTCAATTCGCTCGCAAGCTTATTGACTTTTAGGACCAAGTAACTAGCCAAGCTGAACATGGCTTTAATCTCGCTGAAAAATCATGTCAAACCGGCCCCAAATGCCAACAGTCGAAGTAAGACGCGCACCGACAACGACTATGCCCCCCTCCACCCAACCTAGTTTCATCGCCCAAGAGGATGGCCCTATCATTTTGGCACCTACTCCCATCCGTCGGTCGGCAGCCGCAATCTTTCTGAACAATGTTCAGAATCCAGATTGATGGCGAGCTTGCTGTACCTGAGATTGTTTTGGAAATTGGAGCCCACCCCCTCACCATCCCAGGATAATGCAACCCTACCACCAACCCCAGCACCCAGTGTACCATGCCATATGGCACCTTACTTCCAAGCTGTTGCTTACATAATCAACATCGAAACCGACGACGGTAAAACCTTAACTCGCTTGCTAGATTGTTGACGTTCAAGACCAAATAACTAGCGAAGCTCAAGAAGGGGTGGAAGGCGTAGGAAGTTGTTCGGTTTTTTTTAGGGTATTTACATAGACGGGATATTTGGTGGGATGTTCAGAAAGGGGTGCATTAACGATAACGAATAAGAGGGGAGAGATATTCAAAAGGAAAAGTTATAGCAGTCATCAATGCAAGGTTGTAACTGAAGTTGGCAGGGGGCCCAACGTCTTTTATCGTACTGTGTTGTTTTTCTCGATGCCTGGGTTAGTTCTTCACGTTTATTAAGTCAGAAATGATGTTTTAATATTGTACATCCTCGGTGCTTACCCTTGCAGCTCTTAGAGGAACTGCGACGGGTATTAACAACCTTTGCTCAGTGTAAAAAACAACTGAGAGTGGTTTCAATTTTATTCACAGACAGGATTGATTTATGGGAGTTATGTCAGAACATTGAAAGGTGTGTAGAGTATTATATTTTTACTTAGGATGTTGGAGGAGTTCAGGCGCTTAGATAATGATATGCATCATAGACGACCAATTGCGGTCCTGTATCCATAGCGCGGTTTCATCCACAACCCCCGCATCCAGCCCGACCATAACCCCATCAGCGCCATCATCCATCACTTGATGCATAAATCACACTCAGCTCAACATCCATTCAATTCATTGAAGCTTCAAAACAGAATATCGATTATATTATCATTCCCCAATTCAACCCATGCCCTGCACCTACTGAATCGTAACCTCCATATCCTGCTCAACATTCTCCACATATGGATTGTTCTGGAACGTCATCATGTGGACTTCGGGGACCTCGCATCTAGTTACCCATACTTGTCAACTCTATTCGTCCTACCAAGGGGAAGAAAGGAAGTGGGGGGGGGGGGGAGATGTACGAAAAACCCCTGATCAAGGAGTATTCATTTGTGATTTTACCGCCCGCGTCAATAATCCCCTGTTTGGCCTTTTGCATCTCTGCGTCGCTGCAGTCGGGTTTGAAGGTAACCTATTTTCATCCATTCATTAGCCATCGGTGACTTGTGATGGGGAAGGGGGCGCGGACGATGTAGGTAAGCATGGTTATAGTTCTTGAGGTGATGTTGATGTTGATGTTGATGTTGATGATGTTGATGATGAAGGGAGGTGTGGGGTAGCTTTTATAATACTTGGTACACTGCGGGGTTCGAACTTGGATCTTGACGCTGGTTGGTTCATCTACGTACCTTCGTAGCAGCACAGCCTATCCGCCGCCATGCACCTCGCCATCATTCGGCACTGACTCGCCGTTGCGCCAGATCTACGATGATGTTCCGAATCCCGCCGAACCAACAGGGAACCAACCAGCCTTGAAACCGAAATCAAGGCATTTACGGATGGCTGGATAGCTATGTCACGCGTAGATATAGCTTCGAGGGGTGAGCTGAAAGGTCGAGGCGCGCTACTGCATAGCTTAACTAGATGAAGTTACGGCGCAACCACACCGCCCAGCCATAACGCCAAGAGCTCTTGACAACACAACAAGAGACACCACAAGAACGCGATGAGAGTTGCGAATTCGACCAATTTCCATCGTGATGGAATAGATCAAACAGTTCCAGTATATTTGACATGTACGCTAAAATGTGGACGAAAAAAGCAATTGATTTTCATTAATAATTATCATCACCTCAATTCAACGATGATAGAGTGACATTATCGAATCAATAGTGCTGTGATGTTAACCTCGGAATGTGTGCTATCTTGAAACATTCTCGTTAGTCGAGGACTAACTAGTTATCGTCAAAACTCCAACCCCAACCCCCTCCTCAATCTCATATGGAACCCCCAGGTCGATCCCCAGGGAAGCAAAAACCAGACGTGGAGCGAAACATAAAAAAACATGGGCCTGATAGGGATCGAACCTACACCACAATCACCAGCAGGAATGGATCATATTGTATGCTGCCTGTACACCACAGGCCCGGGTTATGACAGTTACTGCATTTTAGCGAGCTTTAAAGCCCCCCCGGGTTTGACGGGCCTCCCGCCCCTGGCCTTTTGGTACGTGGGATGGAAGACGGAGAGGGAGAGACGGACAAGGCATGAGGGATGCGAGGTGGATGGGGGTAGTTGCAAAACACCTTGGGAGCTGTGAATCTGGCTTCGGAAGTCAAGTAGGATGAGTTAGAATGTGACGTAAGATTTTCGACCTTCTCAACTGTCAAAAGCAACAAAATTCATAATGCATCAGCAGTGAAGCGCTCCATTGTTCGTGAAAAAATTAATTACTTATATAAAAAATCAGTCTTAATTCAAATCATGAGCAAGTAACCTAAAGAGAATCTGCTAGATACATCTACAACAACATTTCATTCAACTACAATACAATAGGCCCTAGTCAAATTCCATAGTTCCTCCATTTTATCTTTCTTTAGGTATTTCAATCAAGTTAATCAAGTCATCTTCATAGCCCATTATCCACCTTATCCACCTCCTGCATTATCCCTGCACCAAAAAAGCAGATTGGCATGTAAGCAACCTTTTATAACGCCAAAATAAACAAAGTAACAAACAAGCGAGCCAGCCGACATCGACAGCTTTCCAAGCAACGCAAAAATCTCCCCGGGTGTCCCTTCCATCCCTCAGTCTCCCTCATGTTCTTCGCTTTCTTCATCTCCATCAAAGGACACTAGCCACCACCAACGTAGCCACGAAAGCACCCACAGACACCAACCACATCCACCTTTCACTTCCCATACTTCTCATCCCCCCACTTAACGCATACACAGCCCCCAAATAAGAACAAGTAACATCCCCACCCGGATCCCTCTCTCCATAACTCATCTCCTTTCCCCAGCTTCCATCATGTGGACAACTGAATCCCATGGGTGCTGGACAACTCTGCACCAACGTCCAACAAAGATCCTTACACGGCCTAACCTCTCTGTAAGCTCCTGGTCTGACAACTTCATCGATTTTCTTATTCCTCGACGGAACTTTAGCTAGGGTTTCATTATTGCTCGAATGCAAGGCAGGATCCGCAAGCCACCCGCCTGTATCCTTCCAATTCTGCGCCTCCTGATCCGTCATGACAGGCTCCCAAGGATGTTTCTGCCAACCCTTCGCAGTTGCATTCCAAAAGAGCTTATTCGAGCTCCTCTCCGCTAGATAGCTTAAAGGGGAGGAGTAATCCATACACCTCGGGATAGTCACAGCACACAACCAATTTTTGTATGCAGCAGCGCAGTCATCGCAGTTACGAACTAAGGAATATTGAGCGGAGGAACTGGCGTTGCATTGGATTTGTTGTAAACTATAGCTGAAATTTTGCCACCAGTTTTGGGCTGCGTCGTCATAGAATTTCGTTAATCCCTTAGACCCGAATACTGTAGGGTTACTCGGCACTGCGTATGCTACTTCGGAACAGAAGGGGAGGTCGTAGATTATTGCACAGTTCCCGTCAGTTTTCGTGAAGGCTTTCAAAGGACGCCAGAGAATACCGGAGGTGTCGGATTTGCTGGAATTGCGAGGCCTGGCGAGGTATGCCCAATACTCGGTACTCCGGTTGAGTTCGAGGAGGTGGAATTGCTGCTTGTGAAAATTACCTAGACCCCGAGTTGTCATGGAGGTTTGAGTATTTCCTGGGCGGATGCTTGCCAGCTGGCGAACGGCGCAGTAGGATTTCTCAAGGCCCTTAAAAGGAGAGGTAACATTGCGGTTCTGCGCATAAACGGTATAAGGGTGGTAGTCGGGGTTTGCTAATGCGGCATCATCCATTTCGTTCAGGCCGCCGTCTTCGGAGGCGTTGTCGGTCATGTTCCCTGTTACTAGTAGAGCTGAGTTATCGTCTGTGTCTACCAGGTACAGGAATTGGTTGTCGCGGTAGCCGTGGTAGGGTTTGCCTGTGGACATGGCAAGCTCATAGTTCCATGGCTGTGATCCCCAGAGTGCGCGGTCTTTGTCGGGTAAGGCGGTTGCGTGTACTCCCACCCAAATGTCGCCGGTTGCTTGGACTGTCAAGGAGCCGAAACCGGCGTCGATGGGGATTGCGAACTGCGGTTTTCCCTGGACGCCGGGACCCGGAGATTTATTGGAGGTAGAGTTGGAGACATAGACCGTCAGCTGCGGAGGTTGGAGATCGGAGCTTTCGGTGTTGTTGGAGGTAGGTTGGAGGCAGGTGTTGAAGGTTATGTGAACGGTTTTAGTTTTCGAGTCTACGATTTCGGTAGCGGAGAGGTGGTGAATATAGTTATCGCCCCAATTTAGATTCTGGGCTTCGACTTCGCCATTCTTTTCATCGCGGGTAAAGGAGGCTCGTTTCTCGAGTGAGGTATCAATCTGTCCGCCGAATCCGAAGCTATCCACCCCAGCAAAGAGCAGCTGCCCCAGCTCCGGTTCAGCGGTAGTTGCCAAAGACAAGCTCCTTTCACCATTCCATGGCGTTATGAGCGCAATAATAAAGGTGTATAAGATTAGCGCAATGGTATGTTCTTTTCGGCGGCGTCTCCAGAGAGGAGGTATTGAAGCTATCGTCATGACACGTTTTTTGTAATTGTTAACGGGGATGCATTATCCTGTGGGCGTAGTAATCGTAGCTGTAGTCGTCTCAGAGCTTCTTGTATTCGTAATCTGGCGTAAGTCGTATACAAGTCGTAGACTGCTGTTTCGCTCTCGAGTCGGGGGGTGAGCGGAGGTTGAGGTTAACCATCGCGGGCGCGCGACAGCGGTGCTTGGGATCGTCGGTTTCGTCAGGGGTGTACCACAAGACGGGCCATCCTTGTCAAAGATACAGCCAAGCCATTGGATGACGTATGCACGCGTAGAAAAAAAGCGCGACGTGTAAAGTACTGCGCGCTTTGCTCAATTCTGAAAATCGCCGTTTTTTTATCATTCTGAAAGGGTCAAAGTTTAATCAAGCAACGAGGAGTTAGCCCTCTACTCCGTTTTTCGAAATCCTGATCAATTTCACAAAATGCTCTAATAATGCAAACCAAAGCTCGAATAAGTCATCAAACTCTCCACCGTCTCGGCCCGTCGTAACCAAGAATATCTCTTACTTGATTAAATCAGTAATCACCTATGTCACAATCGAGATTCTGACTGCATCGTGGCAGAATTGAGTTCCATGCCCATGACCATCAGCTTCACGTGGTGCGAATCAACCAGAGTAAGTATTATTAGCATAGAGCGGGTGGATAGATTGAATGAATTTGAATTCCAGAGTAACATGGATATATATCTCTGTGACCCCGTTACCAATAATTTACATTACATCCATCCGCTCTCATAGCCGATCCTCAACCGAAATGATCTGCAGCTGAAGTTATGCACTTGCACTTCGCAACATCTACACAATGCGGAACGGAGAAGAGATTGCTGCACTCATGATGCTTGGCATGGCTGGCTATGTATGCGCACGGATTGACTCTAGCTCGGGGTGATAATATTTGCCAACGCCTAACGCAAACAAGGCCCGCTTCCTCTCGAAACAGGATGGCTAGTCCTGTTTTGAGAGGAAGCGGGCCATACTAAGATAAGAAGAAAAGTAAAAGGGCTTTATCCGGACTTGCCGGGCTTCTCCCAATTTCCCCATCACGGGGATACTCCTTGGAGTGTATTGACAGGCACGGAAGGCACGAAAGGGACGGAACGATGAAGATAAAGTTTTTGATTGATAGAAAGGGACGAAACTATAAAGACAAACCTCTATTCGGGCTTTAACCAGACATTTTAGGCTGGGCTTCTCCCAAACTCCCTACGGGATACTCCTTGGAGTGTGTTGAAATTTGAGAGGGACACAAGGCACGAAAGGGACGAAAGGAACTATGAAGAGCTCTCTCAAGCACTGGGGGAAAGCTGCGGCGTTATATACCCTGCCCACGCCGAAACTCGTACTAACTACCTAGCTAAACGTATCACGGCAACGCTCGAAAAACCTGCTCACGGACATCTCGTATACGGTACAGTAACTCATGCATATCGTTGGGAACCGGTATAACAATCGCCTGACGGAAGTTCGACGCTTAATCAGTACTCGGTCCGAATCTTAAACTGGATGTTTTGAAACCGGATCTCTTTATTTTCCTTGCGATGAGTCACAAAACCACATATGATGCGCGTACTTAGCGAATCGATTATTCCAGCCTGAACGGCTCACGCGTCGAAACGATATCTCTTCTCACGGAACGCTTCGTCATGCATGACTATACGGCTCGGTTAAATGCACGGTATACTTGATTTACGTGGAACATGGAAAAATAATCAACCCTCTCAAGATCAATTCCAACATCCGGAATCATGGGTTATCACCTATTACCAGTGATTCGCGGTGATTCGATGCCGCACTATCTCGAAACAGGATCTAGGCACTGAGAAAGTTGATGGTACGCGGTACCCCGGCTCTCCCGGTACAAAACGCTCAAGTTTTTTTTAACGGAAACAACCGTACGTAGTAATCCGATATCAAGTTCACGCTATCGGATAGACTACTATATAACCATTCATCCCCAGCCTTTCTCCCCCCTTTGTTTTTTGTTCTTTATGTTTTTGCATTTACATCCAGTGCCTGACCCAATATAAATTGCCCACTTCAAGTGCCTGTCCCTTGGCAAGGTGGATCGCAAAGCCCACGGATGGGGTTTTAGGATCCTCCCGGAGCTAGGATGGCGCGCCTACTGTCAAATAAACAAACAAGGTTGATGTTCATCTTTTTTTTTTCGTCACTTTTTTTCCGTTATCTGACTTGGTAAAATTTTACGCTCTTGGGCAATTAAATCATTTTAAGCACCCGAACCGCGGTATCCCTATTGATTACACGGTTTAAACGGCACAGCCTATCATTGGTTGGACTTGAGCTATCTGCTAGCAGCGTTACGGTACCGTGTAGCTTGGAAACAGCCATGGTGATAAGCGTAATTCGTTGACTTCATCATGGATCACTCCGTCGTCCCAACCGGCCATCGGTGCCCGTGTTCGAACTCAAC